TGTGTGTGCGTGTGTGTATGTGCGGATACACATTTTAGTCGACGATTTCGGGTACACCGATCAACCGATTTGTATAATTCAAAAAAAAAATCCGAAAAAAAATTCCGAAGATACGGGGCAAAAAGTGCCAAAAATGGTAACGGAGCGTCCGATTTTAATAACTTAAAAAACATTTTACTTGTATTGACAAGATGAACAACTAATTAAGTTTTCGTGAAGGCAGGTCTAGCGGTTTCGGAGATCTAACAAAAAAAGTAAAAAAAAAATGCCATTTGGCGGTCAAAAATGATCATTAGACATATGCATATCAAATTATCAGATATTTTATAGAGATTTCAACAATAAGTATAAATTTTGTTTGCATTCCTATAGGTTCCGTACCAATGTTTATTCGTTAGACGGCGACGCGGCGCTTACGCGCTTTGACATTTTGTCTCTATGCAGTTAAAGCAGTACGATTGCTTTGAAAAAAAGTTCAAATCTTCCAAAATATGCCAAAATAAAGAAAACATTATTCTTTCCAAAAAAAATTTCAAAAAAAAAAAAAAAATTTAAATTTTTTAAAAAAAAAATTTTTTTTTCAAAAAAAGTAATTTTTTGTCCAATTTATAGTTTCTCAAAAATCTTATTTTTTCGAAGTATTTTTTTTTTAAAAATGTCAATCGTTTTTAAAAAAATTATTAATTTTTGGTACGGGAAGTTCCAGCAATTTGCCTTAAGGCACGATGCCTTAATTGCCTTAAGACAGAATTCCACTTACAGCTAGTTTTTTTAAAGTATTGTGAAATTTTTTTGAACATTTTGAACTTTTTTAACTTTCCGTAGGATACGTTATAGTAATCGCAAAAAAAAATCAAAAATGAATTTTTTTTGCATATCTTTACGTTTTAAGGCCCTTTGAACATTTTGGCATACCTTAAAATTAGACAAAATGAATGTATGTGTCTATGTGCGGATACAAATTTTTGTCGACGATTTCGAGAACACGGGTCAACCGATTTGAATAATTCAAAAAACATTTGATTCCTATTGTTGGGGAGATTTTGGCAAAGGCAAGTCCAACCGTTTCGGAGATTCAATAAAAAAAAATATAAAAGATGTCATTTGACGGTCAAAAACGACATATGCACATCAAATTATCATATATTTTATAGATATTTTAATAATAATAACAAATTTCATTTTTTTCAAAAAGGTCAATTCTTTTTTTCAAAGTTCTAGAAGAAAATTGAATAATTTAAAAAAAAAACATAATTTTTGGTATGGAAAGTTCCAGCAATTTGCCTTAAAAACAGTTCTTCATTTTGTCAATACAAGTAAAATATTTTTTGAATTATTTAAATCGGACGCTCCGTTCTCTAAAAAACTAAATTACAATTTTTGGCACTTTTTGCCCCGTATCTCCAAAATGACTGGACCTGCCTTTGCCAAAGACTAATCAGCACATCTCCCTATTAATACAAATCGAATGTTTTCTGAATCACTCAAATCGGATACAAAATTTGTATTCAAATAATTTATTCAAACATACATTTTTTCTAATTGTAAGGTAGCCAAAATGTTCAGAAACCTCTGAAACGTAAAGATATATAAAAAATTTCATTTTCGATTTTTTTGCGATTACTATAACTTACTCTACAAGTAGTTAACTAAATCTAAGTTTTACCACGCTTAATCGTACTTTTTCCAAATTTGGTCTCAATCGATTCGGAATGACTAGAGACGTCGACGAAACAAAAGTGACAAATCGAATTCTCAGAGTGAATGTAAGAAATAATTCAAACAACATTCGTGAAACAAAATCTTTTGATCAAACTTAAACATTACAGTAACACAATTGGTCCTTTATCAAACAATAAAAGCTCATCGTAATGGAGTTTAATATCAGCTATATAGCGGCACATTCATATAGCATTTACAGTCAACCCTCATATAACACGATTTTCTTTATCTTTTATAACATGCTTATATAAAAATATGCCAGTTTATATCATAAAAAACTTTTTGTTTAGCTTCTGTTCCATAATACACCTAAGTCTGTTTTTACACGGTCTTTTTGTACACGGTTTTGATATAACACGGTTTGAAAATTGAATATTTTTAAATTTTTTACACGATTTTATTCCATTTAGCACGATTTGAAATTTTATGTACTTGAATTTTTTTTTGTCAAATTTAATTTTTGCGAAGTATGTTCATATCACAAAAAAGTATTTATGAAAGAAAAAAGCCTGAAATCATCGATAGTATCGATAGTTTGCGAACACTAGCTTAAAGATTTAAGTGAATTCCCCTTTAGCGCGTACAAACAATTTTTACTTTGATTTTTTTTATTATATTTGATTTAATAAAATAAACATGAAATCTTGTTCATAAAAATTCTTGTTTTTCACTAATTTTAATAGGTTTTAGAGATTAGGAACAAATCACCCATTTTTGTATAAGACTAATGTCTTTTTTTACACGTTTTTTTTTACACGGCTTCTTCTGGAACCAATCTACCGTGTAAAAACAGACTTAGGTGTATATCATTATCTTTATACATGAGAGGTAAAATTAGAACAAATTCGCTTTACTCTGTATGAGTGTTTTCAGCTCAGCATATCACAGATGGTGCTAGTGTGCTTCAAATTCAGCGTTTGTTTTAAAACATACTTATACATTGAAATATGTGAATGAAAAAAGTATTTAATTTTTTCGTATCATCACATATTAGTAAATTTGTTGAAAATATACGCGTATATTTTGTTCTAGTCAAATTAATCAGGTTCATCTTTCCTATATTATGTATTTAAATAAATCTCATCTAGAATTAAACCTAAGGGTAAATTTACGTGCTACGTTTGGTGGCGACTTCTGTGATATGCTGAAGGAATTAAAATTGATGTAATTTCAAAGCGGCCGTGTTTGCCATCTATTTATACTTGTTCATCTATGTCTTTATATAAAAATCTCCAATTCGATCACTGGTTATATCCGTTTATAGCACGATTTCTTTATTACACCGCGTTATCGGAGAGTTGACTGTATACCATTTTAAATCATAGTGGAGTCGACTGCTTTCTGAATAGCAAATCCAATTATAAAGTCGAAGTAGATAATTAAATATAACACTATCTCAATAAATTTTATATTTATCACCTCCACTATAATTTATATTTTCAAGTAATCTTTTTTGCTTAGCAAATGCTCTAGTCGGTACATATATAAAAAAATTAATGTACCAAATTTTATGCATTAAAAGCAAAAAATACTGCTATATATATATATATATATATATATATATATATACGATATATATATATATATATATATATATATATATATATATATATATGAGGATGATCCTTAATATCGACATTTTCGAATTTCTTCACTCCCAAGAGCTCAAATGCTTCCAAATTAATAAACAACTAGTGGTGTATGACATCGTGCCTTAAGGCAAATTGCTGGAACTTCCCATACCGTTATGAAATATTCGAGAAATTTTAAACGTTTTCAAATATATTATTACAAATACTGTAACTTTCATTATTTTTGCTATCTTGTTATATCTGAGCAAATCAAATGTAAATCATAAATTAATCAATTTATATCCAGAACATTAACAACAATCGTCATTTCATTTCGAATTCAATTTAAAAAAAAAATAGTTGCCTTATACAAAATTGAAAAAGTGTTCCTGTATAGTCACAGTCTAAACGCATTTGCAAATAATTCTGTGCGACATTTTCACTTATACTGTGCTTAGCTTGGCGGCATTTTCACATTTTTCATTAGTTTTCACACAAAATTGGAAAAGTGCTCCAATACGTAAACAGTCTAAACGCACTTGGGTAAACATTTGTATCAGAGTGGCGCTTAGACTGTGCTTAGCCTGGGTAATTTTTTGAATTTTTGATCCAAAATTACAAAAATATTTTTTGAAAAAAAATTAGAAACAAAATTTTTTTTTCAGAAAGCAATTATTTTATTGAAACAAGCTGAAAGTTCTTTGAATCATTTAAATCGGACGCTTATTAGTTCTCTCAAAAACTGCCTTTTTTAACATTTAGCTCTGTATCTCCGAAACCGCTGAGCCTACCTTTTCCAAAAACTAATAACCACTTTTCCCCGTCAGTACGCACTAAATGTTTTTTGGATCATACAAATCGGATGATTTGTTCTCTCAAAAACTCGATTTCTATTTTCTGCACTCTTTGCACCATATCTCCGTAACGGCTAAACGTGCCTTTGCCAAAAACTAATCAGCATATCTTCCTATTAATAGGAATCGAATGTTTTTTAAGCTATTCAAATCGGTTGATCCGTGCGCCCGAAAACGTGGACGAAAAAATGCGGACATACAAGACACACACACACACATCCATTTGGTTTCTGAGTGCCAAAATGTTCAGAAACCTTCAAAACGTCAAAAAATGCAAAAATTTTCATTTTCAATTTTCGGCCCATTACTACAACTACCCTACGGGAAGTTAAAAATCCTCTGAAAGTTTCAAGTCTTAATATTAACATTTAGATAGTCCGCAATTCAATTAAAAGTTTCGTGTATTCATTATTAACATACATCATTAAGTAAATTCTTGCGCCATCTGTGATAGCAGACTTGCAATTTCGATGGCAATTTATTACTGATAATTTTCGCGTCAACATCACCTCTTAAATAAATATTTTGCTGCAAAATTAACTTTGATGCCATTATGAATTAATATTTCGGTAAAGGATTTAATTAGAGGTTAAGTGATTTATAAATATTTTTAGGTCACAGATGGCGCAAGAGTTTACTTAATAATGAATATACAAAACTTTTAATTGAATTGCGGACTATCTAAATGTTAATATTAAGAGCTCAAACTTTCAGAGATTTTTTTTTATCAATTTGGAAGCATTTGAGCACTTGGTAGCAAAGAAATTCTCAAAAATGGCCATATTAAGAACCACCCTTATTTGTAGATATATATATTTATATATTATAATAATAATAATAATTCACCATAAATTCACATTGTGAAATTCTGAGTATAATCATATTCTATAGTAGGAATAACAGTTTGCACAAACTTTAAAAATATAATAAGATACATGTGCACTCCCAATTCACCTCCACCTTCTTCGACAGTTTGTATGATTTTTTTCATAACGACAGCATGCCTTCAAATAAAATTATAAAGATGTACATCTCAAGTGATTTTAGGTGTTTTTAGTTTATTATTATTATTATTTACCTGCAAGGATGCACTGATGCCATCGGTGGTCCTGATAAATTCGGATGGCTCTCCATGGTAACAGTTTTTTTGGCATGGTCTTGACTAACATCCTCATACATTTGTTCTACAGTTAAAGGCTTACGATTCTTAAAACAAAGAAAGAATGTTTATTAGGCCTATTATTTATTTATTTATTTATTTTAAATACTAGCTAACCCGGAAAACGTTGTTTTGCCATAAAAAATATGCCTAAATTGATAAAAAATTAATAAAAGTGCCAAAAATCAAATATTTAATAGATTTGGACTCTGATTCTTTGACAAATAGTTAAAAACTTGTTATAATTTTCAAAAATTATTTGACATTTCATACTTCAAAAATTAATTTACTCGCATCATAGTGCTTTGCTTATTATACTTTTGTCATGTCATATATGTCAAAATTTTCTTTCAAATATTATTTATTTGTTAATAAATTAATAATTATTTTAAGTCATCAATGAATAATTATATAATTGTTAAATTCATAAGTTTGGCTAAATCAACACAGGAATATTGTGGAAATAAATATTCTAAAAATCTGATTTTTGACATTTGCATTTTATTTCAAATTAATTATAATTGTCAAAATATTTTCTTTTCGGTCAAAATTTAATATAATATGATATAATCTTTAGTTTGTCTAGTTTGTTTTTGTCAGATTCCAATGATACCCTCAGATTGTACTATTCCATTTAATAGGTTACAATTTCCTGTAAGATTAGCATTTGCGATGACAATCAAAATATATCTTAACTGATATTTTAATAATAATATTATATTTTAATTACACAAATTTCTTTACACTCCGATAAATAATTACAACGCGTCATAGTGTTTTGTTTATTTTAATTTTGTTTATGTCAATTTTTTTTTAAATTAAAGAATAAATTAAATTTTAGTCTAAATCAACGCAGTATCTTTATCTAAATATACAATTTTTTATATAAATATTTGATTTTATACATTTGCATTTAATTCAAAAATAGTGAATGTCAGATAATATTTATTTTACAATAATGTTTTGTATCTATAATTTGCTTGGCAATATTGCCTATAACATAACTTGGAATAATTAATTTCTCTGCTTCTTATTGAAGTAAGTCGTTAAACATTTTTTTTGTGAAATGTCAAAATTTTGTTTATGATTAATTTTAAATTCAATATGCCGCTTTTTTATTGTGATCTCTGATCTATAATGTTTTGATAAAGTTTTGGTTTCCGAAATAATTTGTTAAGCTTAAGTTAATTGATTAATTAAATTTAAATCGTAAATCTATTTATTTAATTATTTTTATAAATACTGACAAATGACATTTAATTTGTTTACATGTCAACATTTATTCAAATTTTTAAGCTTTGATTTTTAATTAGATTTAAAATTATAAATTGTGATTTTGAATATAGCATTTCATCAAATTTGGATTTAAATGTTGGATATTTCTTTATATGTACATGTTTTTGAATTTTATTTTTTGAAATGCCAAATTATTTTTTCAAAAATTATATATCGAAATTTCCTTAAATTTTGACATTTGTCATTTTAGTGTTTTGTTTTTTTTTTTGGTCATTTTCTGTCAAAATTTTTATAAGTTTATAAAAATTATATATTTATATTTTAAATTTACTTTTCAAAATTTCCTATAACCTAAGTTGGATATATATGCACACGATGAGACAATAAAATTTAAAATCGGTTCAGTAGTTTGGGCGTCCATCGCGAACCAAAATCGTGACACGAGATTTATATATATATATAGATAGATATAGCCCACAGATTTCTTCCAAGAGGACTCAAAAATACAATTATTTTACATAATGAATAACAATTAAAATATATACAAAATTACAATATATAGTTAGTAACATAAAATGCTAAGATAAAATTACATATAATGCAGAATGTAACAATAATATTTATAAACAGAATAAGAAAATAATGAGATATTTGAAAGAAAATAAAAAGATTAACTTGTGCAGATGGAGATTATTTGATTAGGTGAAGTGTTGTGAATGTCTATTTCATTATTAATTAAGTTAAAGTTAGAGGACATAAGTAAAATTGGCGAATTTAAGAGAGAATTAGATTTAGGAGTAGGATAATTAAAAAATATTGTGAACGCGTAGATAGCCTTGGAACATTAAAGGATAGTTGATTAAGAATATGAGGGACAGTCTATAGAATTATTGCAAAGTTTAAATAAGAACATAATTGTACAGATAAATCGACGTGAGGCAAGGGAAGGAATACCAAATTCTTTTAGTAAAGTGTTGTGGTCAAAGCCACGTTCAGGGTAAATTTTATATGTTTTATAATAAAGATATTTCAGAAATTTTCGCTGAACCTTCTCTATCGCATCAGAGTTGTTGATTTGATGACGATACCAAAAAATCGAACCGTATTCTAATTTTGAACGTACATTAGAATTGTACATGCAAAGAAGTGCATTGTTAGAATTGAATTGTTTACAATTTCTCAGTATCAAACCTAAAGATTTATGTCTTCATCAGTTATATGATCAGTGAAAAACAAACCAGAATCAAATAAAACTCCTAAATCTGAAATTTTATTACATCTATCAATGCTGCTGTTAGAAATTTTATAATAAAAAAGTATTGGAACGCGTTTAAGTGAAAAACTGAGAATCTTGCACTTTGATATATTTAAATGTAATTTGTTATAGATACACCAAGAGTGGAAAGAGTCAAGTTGAGACTGTAATAATAAGCAGTCATCAATAGAATTTATTTTGAGATATAGTTTGAGATCATTTGCAAATAATAAATGTGGACAGCTAATAATATCAGATATGTCATTAATAAAAATAATAAATAGTAGTGGACCAAGAATGGATCCTTGAGGAACACTTGAACTGATATTTTCAATATTGCTCAAGAATCCATTAAGATAGACAAACTGTTTATGATTATGAAGATAACTCTTAAAAAAAATAAACTAGCTGTAAGTGGAATTCTGTTTGAGGCAATTAAGGCATCGTGCCTTAAAGCAAATTGCTGGAACTTCCCGTACCGTAACGAAATGTTCAAGGAATACTGAATGTTTTCAAATGGATTATTATAAATATTGTAACATTGTCTAATATTTATAAGAATTATATAAACTGAATTGCAGAGTTGAAATTATTTGTTTAACGTATATTAGAAATTTAGTCAGAATTAAAAATAAAATCTGAATTATTTTCGACATACAAAAAGCTAAAAAAGAAAAAAAATTACAATTTTTTTTCCAAATTCAATTATTTTGTTAAAACAAGGGCCGAAAATCGAAATTGAAAATTTTTGCATTTCTCGAAGTTTTGAAGGTTTCTGAACATTTTAAAGCATATTTCAGAAACCAAATGGATGTGTGTGTGTGTTTTGTGTGTCCGCATTTTTTCGTCCACGTTTTCGGGCGCACGGATCAACCGATTTGAATGGTTCAAAAAACATTCGATTTCTATTGATAGGGAGATATGCTGATGCGTTTTTGGCAAAGGCAGGTCCAGCCCTTACGGAGATATGAAGCAAAGAGTGCAGAAAATAGAAATCGAGTTCTTAGAGAACGGATCATCCGATTTGTATGATTTAAAAAACATTCAGTTCGTAATGACGAGGAAAAGTGGTTATTAGTTTTTGGCAAAGGTAGGCCCAGCGGTTTCGGAGATACAGAGCTAAATGTAAAAAATAGCAGTTTTTTCGTCCGATTTAAATGATTCAAAGAACTTTCTGCTTGTTTCAACAAAATAATTGCTTTTGGAAAAAAAAATGTTGTTTCTAATTTTTTTTTTCAAAAAATATTTTTGTAATTTTGGATTGATATTTCAAAAAATTACCCAGGCTAAGCATAGTCTAAGCACCACTCTGGTATAAATGTTTACCCAAGTGCATTTAGACTGTTTATGTCTAAACTGGAGAACTTTTCCAATTTTGTGAAAACTATTGAAAAATGTGAAAATGCCGCCAAGCTAAGCACAGTATAAGTGAAAATGTCGCACATTCTGTTCAAATTAGGCAACTTTTTTTTTATTAAATTGAATTCCAAATAAAATGACGATTGTTAATGTTCTGAAGATAAATTGATTTATGATTTACATTTTATTTACTCATTGTCAGACATAACAAGATAGCAAAAACAATGAAAGTTACAGTATTTGTAATAATATATTTGAAAACGTTTGAAATTTCTCGAATATTTCATTACGGCACGGGAAGTTCCAGCAATTTGCTTAAGGCACGATGCCATACACCACTAGTTATAATATAATATTATCTAGCATATTTTTATTATGACCCTTTAACTATCTCTTTTGAACGTAAAAATCGGAGAGAGAGAAAGCGCCTATATGAATAGTATATGATCTTTTAATATTGTTTTATCTTACCTCATCATAGCCGACGACCCACAATCGTGGTGTCTGATAATATTTATGTATGTGATGGCAGGTCGTAAGTCCTGGTTTTTACAATAGTGCTGCCTTCTTCATAATCGCCACTTTCTAAATTTTCTTCTCTTTTTCTGGCAGTGCTGGTTTATTTTCAATTAAGCTTCGGCCTAAAAGAAAATACACAGTGATAAAAATAATTAGATGTAATAATCAAAAAATATACATTAATGGAGTGACAGTATTGATTGTAACTATCATGAACTAGTGGGGTGTGTGGCATCGGTAAGGCAAATTGCTGGAACTTCTCGTACCGTAATAAAATATTCGTGGAATATGAAATGTTTTCAAATAGATTTTTATAAAAACTGTAACTTTCACTATTCGTATTTTATAGACATAATATAAGAGCTAATGAACAGGAACGACGACGATTTAAAAAAGAGTGGCGTAAGGATCACACGCGGTTGAAGTAAAACTTATTTGCTACTGTATAAAGTAGCAAATTTAAGTTGAGTAAAAATAAATGCATCATATAAAAAATTTTGAATAATGTTTATTAGTAATATGGTACACTCGTGATGCACACATTTATTAGTGTCGTCAATCATTATACACATTTATATAATGATATATGATTAAAATATATTTATGATTGCATTAAAAATATGTATAACATTTACAAAACATAATGTAATCAAAGTCGTACTTGAAATATGACATGATCGTTTTAAGGTAATTGCTGATTAATAAATTCTATAATATTCATTCACACAGTGGATTATGTTAAACAACGCCTAAAAAAATATTGTTTTTGCAAATTAACTCATCCTGTAACAATTGTGTTTGAAGAACTTCATGTAATTAAAATTAACATACATTCATTTACTGTTTGTATTTTTTTACTTTTTGCTGACGATATATCTCATTCCTTGAACAACTGTAATA